ACTTGATCAAATTATTATGCTGCATAACACCTTTAGCTGGCTCCCCTTACCACCTTATAGCTCTTTCCATATGGCATCACAGACACCCACAGGCCCTCCCAGGCTGCCTACTGCATGCCATTTCAGCTTTGTCTCCCATATTCCTTACTTTCACTTCAGGCATTCCATACACCTCCTTGAATGCCAAGTGCAAAAACTTTGCTCACGTTGTTTTATTTGACATTTGTCTATTAACTACTCACCTTTCAGAAATATACTGTCTGATATGCTAGCAACTAGCCACATAGGGTATTGAGCCCTTGATTTGTGGTTAATCTGAATTATGATGTGCTGTGTTATAAGTATACATACTGAATTTTGAAGGCACAGGTTGATAAAGGTACAAAATATCTCAATAATTTTATATTGATTACACTTGAGAAGATATGTTTTGGATATACTGGATTAAATAAAATAGATTTTCAAATTTATTCCATTCCCTTTTCCAAGGACAAGCTGTCCTCTGTTCATCATTAAGACATCTATACTACCTAAAGTAGTGTAAAGATTTACTGCAGTCTTTATCAAAATTTGACAGATTTAGAAAAATCCACATTAAAAGTTGTACAGAATCTCAATGGACCCCAAATAGGCAAAACAATCTTGAGAAAGAAGAACAAAGATTGGAGGTCTCAGAACTTATTACAAAGGTATAGTAATGAAAATGGTTTGGCACTAGCAAAGACATGTAGACCAATGGAACAGAACAGAAAGTCTAGAAAGAAAGCCTCATATATATGGATAAATGATCTTCAACAAAGGTGCCAGGACCATCTAAACAGTGACAGAGGGTCTCTTCAACTAATGGTGCTTGGAAAACGGATATCCCATACAAAAGGATGAAGCTGGACCTTCCCCTTGTATAAATTAATTCAAAATAGATTGAGACCTAAACAAAAGAGCTAAAACATAAAACTTAAAGAAAACTTAGAGGAAAATCTCTACGACATTGGATTTAGCAATGATTTCTTGGATGCAAAATAACAAAGGCAATAAAAGTAAAAATAGATAACTTGGAATATATAAAAATTTAAAGTTTCTCTGTATCAAAAGACACAATAGAGCTAGGCATGGTGGCACAAGCCTGTGATCCCAGAAACTCAAGGCCGAAGCAAGAGTATCACAAGTTCAAGGCCAGCCTGGGCAACTTAGTGAGACCCTGTCTCAAAAAATAAAAAGGGCTGGAGGAATAGTGTAGCTCAATGGTAGAGCATCCCTGGGTTTAGTTCCTAGTACCAAAATAAAACACACAGCAGAGTGAAAAGATGACCTACAGAATAGAAGAAAATTATTTGCAAGTTGTATATCTGATGGGTTAATACCTAGAATATATACAGAACTCCCACAACTCAACAACTACCACCACAGCAAAAAGAGAAACCCACTTAAAAAAATGGACAAGATCTTGAATAGATATTTCTCCAAAAATGATAAACAAATGACAAAAAAAAAATACATGAAAAGATGCTCAACATCACTAATTATTAAGATAATTCCATCAAACACCACAATAGGATGTTATTGCACACTAGGATGGCTGAAATCTAAAATAACAGCTAAGAATAAGTGAAGATGTGAAGAAATGGTAATATTTGTGCACTGTTATGGAAATGCAAAATGGCAAAGCAGCTGTGGGGGAGTTCTCAAAATATTAAATACAGAATTACCATAAGATCAAGCAATACCACTTCTGTGCATACCGTCAAAAGAATTAAAAACAGAATTGCAATGAGATATCTGTACATCTATGTTCATGACAGCATTATTCACAATGACCAAAAGGTGGACGCAAACCAAGTATCCATCAACAGATGAGCAGATAAGCTACCTGCCGCACATATATACAATGGAATTATTCAGCCTCAAAAAGGCATGAAATTCTGATCCAGATACAACCCTGGGTGGGCCTTGAAGACATTAAGCTAAATGAAGCTAGTCACAGAATGATAAATCAAGTGTGATTTCACTAATATAAGAGAAAATAGAATACATACAGAAAGTAGTATAGTGGTTACTGGGGCTGGGGAGAGGAGAAAGTGAGGGAATTTTTATTTAGTGGGTATAGAGTTTCAGTTTTTCAGGATGAAAATGTCCTGGAGATTGGTTGCACCAAAATGCAAACTTGCTTAACACTACTGAATGGTAAGATGGTAAATTTTAGGTTATATGTATTTTTTCACAACTAAATAAATATTCTAAAAAATCCTTACCCAAATATAACCTTCCCTTCTCCCTTTCAAATGAATTAATTACCTCTCTTTAAAAAAAAAAGCTATTTATAAGAAGTTTTTATTCTATCACTTCTACTTTTAAATATATCAAGCACTTCTAAATATCTAGGAGGACTGGATAGTTCACAAAAGAACTTGTCCACTATGTACATAGCACTGGTAAATAAAATTGCCCATGTAGCAATGGTTATAATCTGACATGTCTTCTAATATGACTATTTTGTCCTTGAACCTTTCCCTCCTCACTTCCTTCTTTCTACTTTTTCAGTGCATAAGTACAGGACTACTCCCTCCTTTTATCCCGAACATACTACTATTATGGCTCATATCACATTTTGGTAATTGTTTGGCAGGGTAAGGGTTATTTATCCTGGGGTGAGATGAATATTCACCCACTTCTGAGGCCCTGAGCAGAACCTAAGAAAACATGCAATGACCCTGACACATAATGTGCTACAGTGGACAGTTATTAGCAAGAGTATATATTGTAACTGGTAGATGTTGCACTCTGAGGCTGGATGAGGAGGTGCCATTTGTCTTCAGCCATCCTTTCAAAGGTATAATTTGAAGACCTAAAGGACACTTCTCTCCTCCCCAACACACAAAAACATTCTCTTCTCCATCATGAAGTCAACCAGCTGAAACCATTGGCCCAACCCAATCTGATCCATTGGAAAAGAGGAAGATGTTGGTTTGAGACAGGTTCAAGATAAAGCAGCTTATCAAACAGATAAGGAACTCAGTGTGACTAGTAAAGAACTATTTTGCTGCTTCCCCCTGACTCCGTGTATATAAGATACATAATAAAAAGGTTTTTTTTTAATAATAGATTGGAACTTTCTTCCCTTCCAAGGTCATAGCCAAAAGGTTACATTTATTTGATCAGTCTTGGATCTATGGTAACTCCTTTAGGGCAAGGACCATACCGTATTCATTTTTGTATCCCCAGTGCTCACTAGTCCTGACTCAAAGCAGGCGTCTAATAAATGCCAAACAGATGACTGAATGGTTAGAGGACACTAATCCAGAGAGAGGTCTTTGACCAAGTAACTAGGCCACCCAAGAAAGAAAAAACAGACTGTATTAAAGAGCCACAGGTCGCAGGTGGGTCTGGTAGAAGTGAGAAGGAATAGAGCAGGCATGGGGGGAGAGTGGTTCATTATAAAGTGCAGGTTGAGCAAACTGATGAAATTCACACCCTCCAGTTCCCTGATCCATTGTCTCACTGGTCATTATACAGTGCCAACATTTATCTGGTCCTCAGGCAAGTTTCCTTTAGTTCTCTAGTTTCAGCTCCATCTGAGGCTCCACCATAACAGTAGCTCAGTGGCCCAGATTCCATAAGCCACAGATTTTGCTTCAGTTTTAAACTAGACATTGTTTTATCTGGATGAGTGGACTGGCTCAGATCTGCTAACAGTAAGATTCTCCACTGTGGCCCTTTCATGAAGTCAGTCCTTTGTATTTTTTTTTCCTCTCTCCTGGAATCCTGGAAAGGATTCCTAACAATGAGAAATCAAAACATCAGCTTTTTCTCATGTTCAATATAATGTCAACATAATGGCACCCCTTCAAACTCAAATGCACAGAATTTGCAAGCTGGAAGGAAGAACAGAGACTAATTCTGTTTCCCAGGTAAGAAAAATTGTGCCAGGAAGCTAAGCTGGGTCACAGCAAATTAAAAGTATAACTCAGTGCCTCTGGCTTCCAGTCCTGAGCCCCTTTTCTTCTATTGTCCACTTGCAGGTGCGGTCACATCTGCCTAGGAGGGGAGAAATGGGCAGCAACAAAAAATTTTCCCAGTCAGAAACATGTTGGTTAGTTAGAATTTACCGTAAACAGAGCTGTAGGGCTGATGAGCTGAGCAGCATCAAGGCACTGTTGGCTGGTAGCCAGCTCCAAATCCTCTAGCATCAACCACCAGGCGCTGAGCCCCTGCTGTGTGCCTGGATCATCCGCGGCTCCCTAAGAGTTGACTGACTGCCATACACTCCTCTCCTGGACTTAGGGAGCCTTACTAACCGCCAGACTGGAATTTAAGATTCTCATGGTAAATGTGGCCCTTAACTCCCGGTGAAACTCCAAGCAAATATTTTAAATTTCCAACAATATTGGTCTGTGGCTTGAGGGAGGGAAGGGGGACGAGGTTCAAATGGGAATCATCTAGAAACGGTATGCTTAGGGTCTAGAGAAAATAGACACACATAAACCAACAAGAGTGCTGGGAGCCACTCTGAGAGCCATGCTGCAGGCTCCCTGTCCCCGGAACCCCATCTCACCGAACCCCTGTCAGGAGCTGCCAACTCCGGTCCAGGGGGTCTCCCTGCGGAGCCCAGACTCCGGGCTTAGGGGGCCTTTTCTTTAAGAGCCCCACGGGCAGTGCTGATTGGCTGTAGCTATGCAGGTCTTTCTTCCCCGGCTCCCGGCGAGCGCTCCAGCCCTCTCCACCCCGCCCTCTCGGCCCCTGCTCCGCGCCTTCTCCCGCCCCACGCTCCCTCCTCCTCTTCCTCGCAGCGGAGTTGAGCTCGACAGCTGCCCGGGTGATACGCCAGCAACAGATGCCGTCCGCCAGGATTGGCATCCTTAGGCTACGCTGAACGCCTGAAGAAGAGAGCAGGGCTGGGAGGGCGGGGACGCGAGGTGCGGAGAATCCCGGCTAAAAGGCAAGAGCCCCCGCCGCAGCCAGCTGCTCCGCGCGTCGCTGCTGCCAGCGCCCACCTCTCCCCAGCCATGCCAGGCCAGGCCACTGACGCGGGGAAGGTTTCCTTCTGCGATGCCAAGGAGGAAATCCGTGCCGAGCTCGAAGGCTTGGCATACGGCGATCGCCAGGAGAGGCCTGGCGCGCGTGAGCAGCGGCTGAACATCGTCTGGAGGAACGTGGTCCTGATGAGCCTGCTTCACTTGGGTGCCATGTACTCCTTGGTGCTCATCCCCAAAGCCATGCCGCTCACTCTGCTCTGGGGTAAGTGCCGCCGGCGCCCCCCACGCTCCAGGCTTAGTGGAGGGGCCCCACCTGGCGCTCGAGGTCGCTGCTCGGCCACAAGCGGTTCGAAGCTCCCTGGTTCTCCCCTCGCCTTCCCTACGCGCCCCGGCCCCCTAGGGATCCAGTTCTGCACCCTTTCGGACCGGCAGGTATTTCTGCCCGGGCATTTCCAACTTTTGCTTTCCCCCGCGGTTAGCCTGAAAAAGAGCGTTTGCTGGCCCCCTTATGGAGAGCCAGAGGGACCCAGCCCTGCCGTCCAAGGCGAGCGGAGAGAGTGGCTAGGTATAGGCTCAAAGAGCCAGGATAGCGGGTAGTAGTGTGGCTGTGCGGGTCCCAGGGTTCTGTCTGCAGTATTTCAACTTCTGGTCTCCTTGGCGGGTCACGGACCTCGGGGCTGAGTTAATAAAAATAAAGATAAGGGAAGCGGGAAGAGACCTGGCACAAGATTGAGTCTTGGTTTTCAAGCATTAGATTGAAGAAAACAGTTCCTTTCCTGCCTCTTTAAGCCCCCTCTACCTCCCCGCTCTGTGATCTTGCAATGCCCACTTGCAGTTCTCCAGCCCCAGAAGTTTCTCTGTGAGCAAACGAGCCCATGGAGAGAGCGCGTCTGCCCCAGCACCAACCTCTCCAGAGGCTTTCTCTACCTGGCCAGTGCAGATGTGTTCTGCACCTGTGAGTGCACCTGTGACTTTCTGGCCATCCTCCTTTCTTACACCTCCTACCACAGGGAAGGAATCCCAGGAGCAGAGCACCACCTCTCCAGAGGTCCCAGGACCTCCGTGCCTGTGCTGCAGGATCTCAGTCGCTTAACCATCTAGCAGTCCTTCCTAGCCCCAAGACTGGTTTTGGCTTCTCTCATCAAAACTGCAGTAGCCAAGACAAAAGGCACAGTCATTGATACATTGGACTGAGAATTGGAAGCGGTAATCCAAGAAGCCCTTTAGCTCTGGTTTCCCTGTAAAGAACTGGGACAGGAGAAGCACAACCTACTTTTATTTCCAGAGGGGCAGAGACAAGAAGACATTAAGAAGACCTCTTTCTTCAAAGCTGCTAATTCGGCATAGATCCAGTTGCAGATGCATATATAGAGAATAGGGCCACTGGGGTTCCAAGCCTTCCCTTGAAGCCCTGTAGTCCCTTATCTTGGAAGCAAACCCATCCAGAACTTGGTACCTTTTAAAGGGGGGTGTGGCTCAGAGAGTGAACACAGTGTTGAGGGATGGTGAGAGGCAAGTGTCTTAGGGACTCCCTAAAGCCTTTAAAGTCCCCCCAGAGCTCTGGTAATCCCGCTTCCTCATTGTGCCTTCTCAATTCCTTGTGGTTTTCCCCATTGTTCTTCTTAAGTGGTTTAATTCTCTGTCTTCCTTTATCTGTAAGTGACAACATTGTAAGACATGCAGCCATTGCTTAATGGATACACTCCCACTGCTAACTAAAGCCTCTGCCGCCTGGAGGCTCCATCCAGGCCCTGGTTCCCTCAGCTTCCAGAAGTGGGGCTGGGCATTGAACTACAGAGCCTACCTGCCTCTGGGGGACTGGGCCTTACCTTTAATAGCTTCAATGTTTAGAACATGCTCAAGAAGTGAGCACTTAAAATATTATCTTACATGCCTAGAGCTCCATGGGACTCACAGGCTCCACTGCTTACAACCTCTGAACCCCAGGACCCGGGCATTCCTCCAGGAGCCACAAGGACCAGACTCTCCTCCTGAGGTTTACCAAGTCACCCCTGCCCTTTCCCAGACTGTTCTCAGTGGTGAAGACTGAATCTTTGTGCTGAAAGATCTTGACCAGCAGGCCCTCTGTTGGCCCCCAAACTCCTCTAACTGCCTCAGAGAAGGCAACACACTGCAGGAATCTAGTTTCCCTTTTGCGGGTGATGTACCTCTGATGTACATCCTGTACCTCTGCCACTCTCTATCAGCTCTGTTCTCTCTTTCTTCTTCTTTTCCTTACCTTCATTGCCTCTCAAAAAAAAAAAAAATGCAGTGCTGGATGTGGTAGTTTCAGTGCCCCAAATTGTGACTTAGAAACATTTTG